ATTTCTAAATCCCTAAAATTGTTTTGTACTGTGAAATATTGTACATACGGTTTCAACAAAGTCTTTGTAATTATGTAAATGTGTTGCTCATGTTGTACCTATGACAAATCTATACTTGTACCCAACAACCAAATAAATGTCCTGGCACAGTTTGCAAGGAAAAAGCAAAAGAAAAGATTAGGTCCTTGGTCATTTTACATTATGCCACGGAACAGAACAAAAATTCTTATCCCTTATGGAATAAAATCAAGAGTCAAGCACTGAATGGAGTGGAATGAATAAATATAGATGCATGTCCATAGACAAGAATAGCAGTCTACTCCGGTTCCTTTACTCTTATTATTACTCTTATTAAAAAAGGACATCGTATCTAGTGCGGTCAAAAGAATTCTCTTAGGAACCAATTAACGTTCTGGTCAATGACAAACATTTTTTGGGGAAATAAACATGTTATGCAAGTATACTATTTTCTTAATTATTTGTTTATATTTATAGTATAAAATAAAAATGGGATGACATAATATAACAGTGTTATAAACAATTTACAGTAAGCAATAAATTTACAACTATAGTAAATCATCAAAAGAAAGATTATAAATAGCTAAAATTAATTCCAGGTAGATGTTACTCCCTGCACTCAGAATCAAACATCCTGAGATTGCTCATACAATGCTAAATGCCTCTCATCCTCATCTTTTTCTGAGAATATTAAGATTTCATTTTAAAAAGCGTATGGGCTACTGAGGAAGACAGCAAATGTTGAAAAGCATTAGGCTTTTATAAAGGGCTGATTTATTTATAAGGTTTAATATATGGATTTGCAAGAGTCAGCATGGTACAGTGGTCTGAGTACTCGACTCTGGGAGATCAGGGGTCAGCCCTGAAAACCCCTGAGTGACCTTGGACAAATCACATACTCTCAGCCTCCAGAGGAAGGCAATGGCAAACCTCTTCTGCATAAATCTTGCCAAGGAAACTCTGTGATAGGGTTGTCATAAGTTAGAATTGACTTGATGGTACATAACAACACGGACATGCAATTGCACTGCTAACTTTTTCACACACTGCCACAGCAGCTAGTTAAGGAACAGCAAATACAGCAATGCTCCTAGAAACTTTAGCTTACCTCCATCAGAAACAGCTGCAGACTGAAAAAAAAAAAAAAAGGAAAGATAATCAGCAATTAAGTGCAAACTGAAAAAAAAAGAGAGGAAGTAAGATTTTAAATTCGTAACATTACCTATACACACAAAAACACTTATTTGAAATGATGTACATTTATAAAATCTTATATGGTATATGGCTCAGAAATGTTTAGAAAACAGATTTTAGAAAGTCTTGTCAGTTATTATTTTAGGACAAAATACCAACACATTTCTTTCCCATATTTTGGATGGACTGCATGGAAGATGGCACTATAAATAAAAAGGAAAGCAAGAAAAGAGAACTGCAATTCTAAACATTGTTACTGCTTACATGTTGCTTCCTTATTGCTAAACTACTTTTGAATACAATTCCAAAAATGCTTTTCTCTGTTTCAAATTTAGAATTTACTTTTTATTTATCAGCATAGTCAGCATCAGGAACCAAACATACATAATCACTGAGTTTTTCCCAAAACAGACTTGTCTTCCAAACCTTATTTACAGCTTCTCAATGTTTGTAGGAAACATATCAATTCCCTGTTCAAACAGCTTCAGTGGCAAATGGTTCATTGCTGGGCATAATCCAAAGTGCTGGTAATATTCCAAAGCCCTGTAAAGCCTGGGTCCAGAGTCTCTGAAAAGACTGCATCTCCCTTTATGAGCCTGACCAAATCTTAAAATCCCAAGGGAAGGGCTTTCTCTGACCCAGCACTATCATAGGCCCATTTGGTGAAGATACAAGAGAAGTCCTGTTTGGTTGCTGCTCCCAGACTCCGAAATTTTCTTCTATAGGAGTCTTGGTTGGCTCCTCTGCTGTTGTCCTGCTGGCAGGGAAAAACATCTTTTAATTTAAAGCTTTAAATTTAAAATTAATTAAAATTTAATAAAAATTTTTAATTTTAATTTAAACATCTTTTAAATTAAATCATTTTAATTTAAATGATTAGCAAGGTGTGTAGAAGCCGTGTTGAATGGGATGTTTGTGAAGTATTTCTATTATCATTATCATTATCATTTTATTCATTAACTCGTAGTGTTTTAATAGTATAGCTTATTATATTGTTTTTAACCTTTTACCTTTAGCGTTTTACTTCTACTGTTAAAAACATTATGTTGCTCTCTGTCTTTGGTTCCATGTCAGGAGAAAAGACGGCTGGAAATTAAATGAAACAAAGTAAACGTTGTTTTGCATTTGTATCCCAAGAGGGAGATTTGGCTTTGTAAGCAGAATTTATTTTTCGCTGGTCTCCGAACCTGTTTTCTTTGTCTCAAGAGTTCACGGAAGGTAAGAGTTATGAAATTATTTTACCATCTCCTTCCAGTACTTTACTACTAAAAGCCAGCTTGGGATGGTGTATCCTAAGCATCCTACATTACCTCTGGAAGATTATACAGATTTCAGCTTGGGCACGTCTGCCAGGGAAGAGCATTCTGAATTTGAAGGACAGTCAATAAAGGCACTTTATGTGCACTTGTGGAGTTGATTTGATGGATGTTCCAGCAGCCCCAGGGAACCCAATGCCCAGCTGCTATGCCATAGAGGCTCCCAAGAAATAGGAGAGAACATTTACAGGTTTCTGTTTTTCTGGTGCATGCAAAAGGCTCTCCAGGACACAACTAGTCTGAAAACAAGGAAAGAAGAAGGCTGTTTACACGGCCCCTCCACACTCCTTACTTTGCCATGCTGTCGCTAGTACTGAGCAGTGGCATCACTAGGTTTGGTGTCAGCCCCCCATTGACCTCCTCCCATATCACACCATACAGAATCCTTAGGAACATTTGCTTTGGGTAATGTTACTTATTAATAGTAATTTCTGCATATTACTGAATGTAGATAGTAACAGTGGTGACCTAAACAGCTAGCAAAACTGAAATTACACCTTTAAAATTACAATATCATGTGCACTGCCTAAATGCACTTACGGGCCTCTGCAGACCAGCCCAAAGGGCCAGCTTGGAAGCAGAGATGGATTGGGGCAGCTGCACACTGGCAGCCCCAACCCACGCCAATGCTGTCCTGATGCCCTCCCGGCGCAGCGTTCTGACGCGCTTCACCGGAAAGGGCTAAGAAGAGCTGCGTGCCGGCTCTTAGGGCGGCCTTTTGCCACCCCTAAAAGGAGCAGCATTTTGCCGCTCTTCAGGGCGGCAAAGGGAGGATTGGGGATGCCGTGTGGGGTAGCTGCGACTTGATCCGCCGCTTTCTGGGGCGGCCCAGAGCCACCTGTCTGCACCCCACCTACACCTACATTGTTTCATGTGGTTGAAGTGAAAATTTGGTAAAATGTGCAGTTTTTTAATAAATGTTTTATACACATTTAAAAATTTAAAATTTAAAAACTGGAGCCTCTCCTTTCTCCTCCCCTTCAGCCCTACCCCACTGACATCATCTCTTCAGCATTTTAAAGGACACAGGCAAATACCACAGGCCATTTCTGCCCAAAGGCAGTTGTTTGAGGAGCAGTGGTGTCACCCCTTCTTAGGGTGTCACCTGGTGTGGTCCCACTATCCTGGCATCCCCCCAGTTACACCACTGGTACTGAGGAGCCCTCTGTCACCACATCTGACGTAGAAACAGGACACCTGGCCATGTGGGTGCTTCCAGGAGCCCTGTTTCCATATCTGACATGGTGACAGGGGGATTCTTAGTACCAGTAATAGTGCTGCAAGGTAAGGAGCATGCACTGGTAGCGGGTCCCAGGTTGGTGCAGGACGGGTATGTAAACAGCAGCCATTATAACTCCAGCAAGTAGTTGATGCTGAGTTTCAATCTCTTCTACATTGCTGTGAAGATATTATTATCATTACAACAACATCACAAGTTATTTATTTTGAAAGATCAAAAGATGATGCCTGCACTTATTCTTGTATAAACTCTGGTTTCATGTATAAACTGGATTATTATGCTATGCTGCATTTTATGTCCCAGTAAAGAGACAATAGCTGTGGTGGGGACACTCATTTGAAGGGTTATTTTAGGCATTGTGCAATGGCTTGCTGGTTGAAAAGGACAATGTGGGCTCAAAAAGTGTGCTTTGGCATTTTCTCGGTCAGAAACACCACCCAGAAGTGACAGCTGGTGCCAGATAGGGACTATGGTCCCTAACCAAGGCTGTTATTTTCTGTTAGAGCATTCAGTTCCACACACACCCACTCTTTCTCTCATATGCACCCACACATTGCTTTGCAAGCATCATCTTACAGTAACATATCTCAATTTCCTCTGTGCAATGGCTTGCTGTTTTCCTTTTCTATATGGTGGGGTGTAGGCATGGCAGTGGATCCGATACAGTTTGG